TAGAGCTGCCAGTAAGAAATATTTTCATTATTTATTCATTTGTCACATTTTTTTTTCAATCAATCAAATAAATATTTAGCCTATAAAATGCGAGAAGAATTCCAAACACTGTGTCAGCACTAAATAAGACAACATACATCGACAGCTTGCTTAAAATGTTGTCTCGCGGCACATTCATTTTTTTAATACTCTCATGATCAATGTTTCATTGATAGATACATTTGCCCTGGTAACCACGAACTAAGGCTGCAAGATAATGGCCAAAATGATATACCAAATTATTTTTAGCAATATTGAGATCACAATTGTTTATTACTATTTAATTAAACAGAGCACTGCTTTCACTTCCACATTGTTCTACATTCCTGCTAACATACAAATCTTAGATTTCAAAGTAAGATTGGTCCATATTCACAGTGCGTCTCCTAGAGGCAAAATAAAACCAGAACTCTTCACCCAAAATAAAACAACAGGCTGCTGCTTTCACTTTCATGTTGTGCTACATTCCTGCTAATTAACAAACGTTTGCATCAAAATAAGACTTAAAAGGTTCTTCTTCTATATTATGTAACGTCAAAATCACAGTCGATCATGTTCATTAAATTGTGGGAATCCAAAAATCAAGATCGTGATTAATATGCCATTAATTGTGCAGCCCTTCCAAAGACAAGGGATTTTAGCAACAACTCATGGCTACAGAGGAGGATTCTAAACATTGTACCGATTAGGTCCCGCTTTATTTCACCAGTCCAAGACAGCGCTGCACTCATTCAAGACACAGCTTGTCAAATGTCAGCAGTACCCGAGGAAGAACTCCCTATTTTTCCTTCAAACATTGGTGTCTGTCACCACCGGGCCCTGGATAAAGATTGAAAGCATTTCAAAGTGGCAGAGGTTCCATACGTCCTTAGCAAAGAACAATACCTCAACTTTGAAAAGAGCTCTTGCTCAAAGTGAACATCATTCGCTCAAAAAGTCTGAAAAACAAGACAAGAAATGTCTCCAAAATATCAGGATAAACAAACGGCAGACGGATGACAGCCCCCAGCTGTCTTCAAATCCTGGGTTCATCCTTGGATATAAAACCAAAGAAAAAGGGACAAAAAAGATGGATGGAGTTCAAGGATGTCTGACAGATGGACAGTGGAGACGCAGGGCTCGCCCCTGGCCGTCGTCATTAAGTTGCGTAATTGCACAGATAATGATTCAGTCTGCCTTCAAGTTAAAACAGTCCATGACACACAGCGGAGAAGACTTTGTCATTTGCCTACCTAACTGCAAATGTCATTCCATGAAAAATGTTTTAGTAGTGTCTGCGAACCGATGAATAAAGACTTTACATAAGTGGGTGATACAGTCCCCACGGTGACCACTGCGGCTTTTCACTAGAAAAATCCATTCACGATGCACTGCAAGTTTATACTCTGCTTGTAACTCAAGGTTTGTATTAGAGTGCATTGAACGTTATAAAAATAAAACAAAGCAGCCTCCTAAAACCAATGGAGAGCAGCCAAGGAGGGTAAAGGCTGTTTTTATAGACACTTGCCTTACAAGATGACAAAACAGGCCCCCTACAGTTGGGGCTATCCACTAATAGGCTAACACCCTAAAGCACGTAAAGGAATAAGGGTTTAGCATGTGCGGGCGCTGTCCAACAGAAAACCACAAACAAGAAATATGGATTTGTTCACTGGAGTTGTTGCAATACATTGAGAAGCTGACTACACTCTGGGTCGTCTCTGATTCCCCTGCAGATGCCGAGGCAGGTGTAAGCTGCTGTCAAGGCAAGAGATGCACGCACGGTAAATCTGTGTCAGGCTTTGTAGTTTATTAAGCAGACAGGGTGTCACAGTTGAAAAATCGGAACTCATGAAAGTATTTCATATTATCGATGAAGCGGGTGGCAGCATCAAACCCGGAGTCTGCAGAAAGACTGAGGATCCATCGAAGTCAATCCCTCTACCAGGACAGCCTGGCAATGAACTCTTTAAATCTAAAGATGATGTTGTTTTTACATGAACATTCTTGTGAAGAAACGATGATGGATAGAGTTTCCCTTAAGATGGAAAACTGACTGCAGCCAACTATCTCAGTGTCTATACCACTGTGCACTTCAGGCCATACCAACTGCACTCACAGCTTTCACCCTCGTCTTCCACTGAAACACACGAGAACTCATTTGAAACTCTTAAAAGCATTTGGCTCCAGGCGCCGCATCACATGTTGCTCAGAAACACAGAGCCCATCTCTAAAAAAAAGGCACTCGAGCACAAGTTAAAAGATGAATGGCTATTTTGATGAAGATAGATTCAATGCCCCGCAACACAGCCTTCAGCTTAACTGATGCACAGAGCTTCTTCACAACTTAAACCTTACTTTATGTTAGCCAGTCTAATTGTATCTATGTCACTGTAACTAAGTTTTAACCCGACTATTGAACTATTGTCAGCTGACCATTTCACAGGAGGAACAAGTTAAATCAGATGTTAAATTGCTATTAAAACAATACAGAGGGAAAAAACAACACAGTCCTCAGTCGATAATATATTAGCATCCTGAGACTTGTTCAGTGTTTGAACTATAAATGTATGCAGGGAACTGTTGGTGTTCTTTCATTACTGTGCTCTAACAAGCATTGAATCTGACATCAGTGACAATGGCCATACATCCTCCCTCGCGGTAAAGACAGAGAAAGAAGTTTAGAGACTCCCCGGAGGACACATTTGTATCCTAGGCTTCAGCCCGAGCATGCATCATGGATAACAAATGACTGGAGTTCCTCAGTCTCTCATCTCGACACTCATGCAATGCAAGCCATTCTGAGTTTGTAATATACTGGAGGTAGACAGACACCATGCATGAGCTTTTAGAAGGCATGTAGCTTTCCCCAGCGTTTTCCTTTTGCTTTGCTTATTCAAGATCTTGATTTTTTGTTTTCATTTGATTAATTTAGGGAACCTCAGCCCCAACAACCTCAATACTGCCAAGACAAAAACTGTCAAATCAGTGTCTCCATCATTAAAAGTGCTGCAACCCCTAAGGATTTTTATTGGATATGTTCCAGATGAGACATAAAGTACGTCTGCGGAGGATGTATGATTTGGGGAAGAAAGATAAATCTACAAAGCAAAAATAAAGACAAGGCATCATTAAAATCTTATTGCTGTTGTGCTGTGTGGTCCTCCATGTGAAAGTCTAATTACAAAGCTAATTCAGGAGAAAACAAAATAGCCTTATCCTATTTAAATACACATGAACTGATTTTTTTGTAATTTCTTTCTTTGATTAGATGCAGTTATACAACCTGATCTCCGTTCCTCTGATAATTGTAGGTCAACTTTTTTTGTTTTAAATAGTTTATTAATTAATAGTTATTTGTACATTTGGATCACAGAAAATCTGTCTTTATTGAGCTTTGAAAGTGAATTTTGTTGTATTGAGAATACAAAACAGTCAGCCTGTTTTCATAGATAAACAGTTATATAAATGTTGGATAAATCAATGTTGGTATTTAGATGTTCCACTCTTATGTTTAATATTTTAGAATATTTTAGTGTCTAATTTTATCATTTTAGGGGATTTCCAGTTTTTACATACCCACGCAAGTCTAGTTTAGCTGGACCATGAGTACAGCCTGCTTGCAGAACAATTGATCAGAATATCTTGATGCCATTTGACGTGTCAGCCTCTTTTGCATATGACACAACACGAGTTAACTTTCAAGTCCAATCTTTCACATGCAGGTAAATGGAGATATGGATTTGCACATTCGTACTTTTGGTGGACAAAACATCGGGTATTGGGCTACAACATGAGGGAGTGCTGCCATAGGGCTATACTAATGATGCAATGCCTGAGGCATACTGACAGGTCTGCTGTAGGGGGCCAAACCTGAACTCCAGGCTGCTGATGCTTACTGCTGACAGATATTGACTTCTTCTGAAGCAAGTCCTTGCGTGGCCGTGTTGGTGATTACCATGTACTTTTTGTTGACATGTCGAGCGTGTCAGGCATATTCCGGGGTCTGAGGCCCCCACACCGTGACACTCTGGACTAGTAGTGGAGACTTATTATGTCTTGGCGAGGAATGGGTTCCTTTCATCGATTTTATTCCTCCCCCAATTTACGTGCTCCGGCTGGATTACATGTTCTCATTTCCTTTGGAGCTAACGGTGTGCACGCTCTTACTCATCTTCGTCTCTTTTATTATCAACTCCCTCCTAGCTTCCCCCCAAGCTCCTTCATTTGTTCCTGCTTTCTTTGATTATCCAATTAGTCAAAGTGTCTGTTTTCCTGTCTTTTTGTCCCTTTTGGCTTCTATGGCATAATACGACATCCTGAAATGGAGGCAACCTTGTCTTTTAAAAACTATGTATGTACATGTACAACTAATTTGCTTTGGCTTTCCTTTTTCTTTTTTTTTAACATGGAACATGACTGCAAAGCATTCGCCGTCAATGTTGTCTTGGGTAAAGTGGTCTGGGTGTGCAGAAACATGATATGAATAAAACATGTTTAAAACACAAATGAGACACACTCTTTTATGCTGGCCAATACAAACATGCACCTGTATCACTAGATATGCCTAAACCTGGGTCAGTAAACCATTCAGGCCAAGCTGCTCAGCGTTTGAAAAGTCAGAATTCAAAGTCGGTCTGAGACACATCTGTTAACGGCAGAGTCAAATCCATACAATGGATTCATAAACTTCAATCTTGAAGTCAACATTTCATCCAACCAACACAACTTGCAAATATTCAATATACTGCAAACCACAAAATATCACACAAATGAGATTTTACAGCAGTTAGTTAGAACAACTGAAAACGGGGAATATCATTTCCACACAGCACTTGAGTCTGCTCAGCTCACCCACACAAGAGTTTTATGCTAAACCAAACCAGCACTACACTCCATGATTTCCATAAACAAAAAATGATTAAAGGATTTCTTTCATTTAATTAACCGAGAAGAATCTTTGCGGCTGGCTTTGGTCTTACCTGCCCATCTGTCAGCAGCATGTCGGTGCGTAGCCAGGTTGTGTCATCCGACCCGATGGGAGAAGACAAGTGTGCAGAATATGATGGACACGCAGCCTCCTCACTACAATCAGTCTCAGCATCACACCGTACCTGTGGACAAAGTACCAGCACATGTGGCTGTGTAGTTGGTTGAACGTGTCAAGGACACAATCTAATGCAAAACAATCTTTCTGCATTGATCTTGGTTTTGTTACTCTGTGGAAACGACTGCGGCGAGCTAACTGCTCATAATAACAATATGCCATGTGCTTACTTCAGAGCTATGCATAAATGTGTCATGAATGTGTAAATAAAGGAAGTGGATAATCTGTTGTTATGATTGGTTGAGACCTATCCAGTGACCAGGTGACTGTAGAATACCAGTGTGTCATTAACGAGACAACTGTCTTATTATTAACTAACAGTTATGAATCAACTGTACCGTCAAATGTGATATTTTCTTACACAAATACATTGTTAAAGTTGGATTTAAGGAAGTGGGTCTTCCTGCCATGGGAATGCTCTTTATTTCATTCTGAAGGTGAAGTGAGAACTTGTGGTGATGACTTCTCCCCCATATTGAGTAGCTTTGGGGCTTTTCAACATTGATGCTTCCTTGATATCGACACCTTTGTAAAATGAATGCCTCCCAGACAGTGCTTCCAAAGGGACTGCTTTAATGTCAGTAATACCTTATCTTAGTCGAGAGGATTGCCTTACTGTAGGATAATGCTCATTATCCATTGTTTGTATTGTTGCTTATCAACATATTGAAGTGTTTTTTTCCGTTAATCTTGGTCAATTAAATGAATAATTGGGGCCTCTAAAACATAACTTGACGCATTATTAAAACAATCTGTCAAATCAAAACATCAATGTTTTTAGACTACACTGCGGCTGTCCTTCCAGAGACTTTAGTAGTATATACTTGTAACAACGGTATGTATTGAGTCTAATTATCTTCTAAGATTTCATGCCTATTTAATTGAATGCCTATGTATTAGATTTAGCTGTAATCTCTTAACTGGCAACTGAGGTTAGAAAGATCTACCAACATATCTGCAGGCAGTATCCTCCAATTCTACATTTTCTAATGAAATCAGAACATTTCTAAAAAAAAAAAAAATTTTACCATTTCATCTTTTTTTCCCCATTCACTTTCGGGCACAATTTTCCCTGCACACCAATAGACAGATAATACAAATATGCTTATTATGTGATGAACGTGGCTCAGATCCCATGCCTGCAAAACGTATCCGGTGATAACAGGCTGGAGAAATTAATGGGATTTTTATGCAATAGAGGGATGAAAGATATCTTTTCTCAGTGACATACACAAAGGTACAAAGATACAAAGGGTATTAAAGAGGTCAAGATAAGAGGTTAGATTCTGAAGCCAAATTACACAGAGCAAAGTTCTCTGAGGAATCAGTTTGTGATCTGAGCTCCGTTCCCAGTTGTGGCTAAATGACACTTGAGGACCAATACTGGGGTGCTGAACCATGTACGAAAGGTGCCCTCTGTATCAGTCGTCATTATAACTCTAGGCTTTGTTGCATAGGGAGGTGTACTTATACTGACAACATATATTCTTTGCCACTGTGGTGTACAGCAAGTCTTTATAACATAAAATGTATACAGTATATTCAGCCATGACGGCCAATGACTGATGATGCAATTGTTAAGATATCATTTTAAAGTTCAATTATACACGTTTAAAAAGATGAGTGAAAGGCTCAATTCAGGATACAAATAACAGATAAAGCCAGTGCAGATGGTAAAGGTCAGCTGAGCCTGAGATTCAATTACTCTGTTGGAAACCCTAAAGTGGAACCAATCTTCAGCACGGTATGTGACTGCACCACTCACTGTAGAGCTGCACGATCTGAGCAAAAGCTCCAAACATACACAAAAGCACACATACTCAAGAGTTTTCTTTATTTCTAGTTCCCACTTCAGAGAGAAATGTGTCTAGCATCTCGGCTCACCTCAGGGATTACAATAGTGTGCAGTTAAAGTAAACAAGTGCAATGTAGCATCTTAGATCCCAGACAGACGGGTAGAAAGAAAAGAAGGACAGTAGGTGGTAGGTAGGGGGATAACATTGCACGTATTTCTGCAGCCAGTTACGCTGTCATAACATTGATTAATGTTGGAGTTTGTATGTGACAGAGTGAGCAACTAAAACAAATGATAAAAGTCCTATATAAATAAATCTATGTGTAAAAGGCTGTCTGAGACTTCAAGTTGATATCTGAAACTGAACGAACACAAAATAAAGAAATTGTGAAGGGTAAATACAGAACTACATGTAGGACACAGGCGGCAGATAGGGAGAAATGACAGATAATCGCCTTGCAAAAGCAACTGAGTTGACACATTTATCTCAAATTCATAAATAAACAAAAAGTAGTGGCTGAAATGAAACACGTCTTAGACAAGGGTCCACAACTTTGTGCACAACGGAGGCAAAAATTCCATTTTCAAACCTCTGATTAGTTTTTAATGTGAGGAATGAAGGTGGCGCAAAAACCTCATCAGTGAGAGCAGTTGCTTGAGAGACATATCCAAGGCCTTTGTCATCATATCATTTCTCTGTCTGGAAATCCTGATCTGGAGCATGGTCACGTCTCATTATTATGCCCTGATGTTATCACTTCCCACAAGCTTGAGGACAATACACAACAGTGCAGATTAGCAGAGTTTTAAAAAAAATTCCAATTAATCGTGAGTTTAGTGGGAAAGAGTTTCAATTTAATCTCCCGAAGGAGGAGGCTTCATGTACCTCATTGAAGCGTGTCAGAGTTCAGGGGTTTAAGGGATTGTGGCACAGGCTTACCGCGTCTGGACAGGGACAGTTATTGAGTGCACTCGTCCTTGGGGTCGGACAAGGGCTTACGTGCTAGTGATGAGAGTGACAATGGCAGTTGTCCCTGATTGTGTCCTATAGTGTTTAGTTTTGCAAAGGAAATGAAAAGGAATGAAAGGAGGGAAGGAAGGGAACAATTAGCATTCATTGAATTCAATTAGTGCTTCAAAGGATTAGACGATTAATCAGATGGTTAGTCGACAGTGAATGGACAGCGAGTTTGATGAATTAATTAATCGTTTCGGACATCTTTAGGTTACGGTTTCCCAAATGTGAGGATTTGCTGCTTTTCTCTGCTTCATATTGTTGTTCATTGAATATCCTTGGGTTTCAGTCTGTTGAGACAAAAGAATCAATTTGAAGATGTCACCTCGGCTCTGGGATATGGTGACGAGGATTTTTCTCAGCATTCTCACATTTTATAGACTAAATAATTGATCAGTTTAAGCAGACGGGCTCATTTGGCAAAGAGACAATTTTCTGTTCAAACTCACTGCCTTTATTGTTGTTATCATGCTGTTCTTGTTTAACCAAAGGGAAGAAAGCGTCATATCCACATTCTTGGTACTACGTCGTGTGAGTTCTACGTTTCGTCCCGGGGTGGTTTATAGTCAGCGGTGTCAAGTCTGATGGCACAGTACTCTGCCAGGAAAAAGGTGGCTTGCTCAGATGGGGAATTTAAGCATCTCAGGGTCTCGTCACGAGTAACATTGAACGATTTTAGATTTTGCTTTTGCTTTGCAGTCAGCAAACATCCACTGGGCTGGACTCCTGGTTGTGCTGAATAAAATTCAACATTTATGCATATTTTTACAAGAATATATTAAAAGAATCTTCGCAGCACTTTCCTCTTTCACTCCATTGCTGTGAAGGACACGGTTTATTTGTTACTCATGTTATCAAAATTCTGCTCATATCAGTCCATTAAGTTAATTAATTTAGGGATGAAGAAAGGACTCTCTCCATATGTTCACCTACGTGCAAATTTAACCAAATATAGTCCAAATAGCACTCCTCAGATTCGCTCCAGCTGTTGAATACACAGAATCAAAATGTGACATTGGGTGACAAGAGTCAGTAATAAAACAATTGCCCCTTGCAATTTTATTTTTGCTTATATTGGTGATATAACTCTGATTGAAATGATATATTATAGGCACAGTAGCCTGTCACAGAAAAGATATCTTACTGGAAAACTATTGCAAATCAATAACAATTTCAAGACCCTGTTTTATTATGTCCTATTTATATTTAAAGCTGTCTAATTTTAAAAAGCTACCAGTGTTGTGGCTTGTTCATTGTGCTAGATCCGGCACATAGCCTGTCACCTATTGATATCATCTGTCAACCCAAGCCAGGCCCGTTCTTCTTTCCCTCGCTCCTCATCTCACCCACACCAGGAGGTACTCTGTTCAGTTGCTAAATCGGTTGTATCTATCTTAACTTGGCGTTGATCATTCACATTCACATCAGAATCCTTCTTTGTACTTTTCTGCTTTTCAATAATTCACATCATTGCCTCTCTCCTCTTACTATTGTCCTTGTTCTTTATTCTCTTTGTTTTGCACTTGAGATGGAGAACTTTGACTCAGACATATTTAACTTGGGAGCACACACACAAAATATCCTACTCCATGACTGACTCATATTTTAAACAACTTTTCAAAGTTTTCTTTGTACTAAAATTTGTATTTTTAAACCATACTGTTACTGTAGCCCAGAAATGTCTTATTACACTTTAATTGTTCTTTTTAACTAGATTCCTATGGTATAGATACTGTACTAAGCCTATATGCCTGGGTGCTTTGGACAGGTCTGGACAAGTCACCGGTGTATCACAGGGCCAAGACATATAGACAACACATTCACACCGTTCTTATTTACTTCTACTATGTCTCTGTTGCTCACACAGATGCAGCTCACATTCACATTATTGTATTGTGCCCTTAAATGTGCTGTGGATGTAGAAAAAGAAACATCAGTTGTGCTGAAACATCTTTTAAATCATCTGTTCAGACAGTTCATGAATATGTTCATGTGTATTTGGTGCAGCTCTTTTCCCCTTTTCAAGGAGAAAATGCATACACATAACATGCAAACAATCTATTTTATGTTTAAAATGAATTTAGTGCTATAAATTCATGCACCCAACGACACATTTCTATGTGTAATTTTTTAAAGAAACACGTGTTTGAAAACCTGGTGGGGGCTGCTTCTTGGGACATTTTCAGGCCAGGGATTT